CTCTACTAAAAAATACAAAAAATTAGCCGGGTGTGGTGGCGGGCGCCTGTAGTCCCAGCTACTCGGGAGGCTGAGGCAGGAGAATGGCGTAAACCCGGGAGGCGGAGCTTGCAGTGAGCTGAGATTGGGCCACTGCACTCCAGCCTGGGTGACAGAGCGAGACTCCGTCTCAAAAAAAAAAAAAAAAAACCCTGACATTTCTTATCCTGTAAAGCCTTAGACTATAATCTTTTCTCAAACTCAAGAAATTCTTGTTTTCTGTTTTCAGTGGCATATTTTTGTTTTTTAGTGGTACAGTCTTCTGTTCCTCAATGGTACGTGTAAAACACAAAATACTTGAAAATGCACATCCTCAGCCAACAGACACGTGAAAAAATGCTCATCATCACTGGCCATCAGAGAAATGCAAATCAAAACCACAGTGAGATACCATCTTATACCAGTTAGAACTACGATTAGTAAAAAGTCAGGAAACAACAGGTGCTGGAGAGGATCTGGAGAAATAGGAACACTGTTGGTGGGACTGTAAACTAGTTCAATCATTGTGGAAGACAGTGTGGCGATTCCTCAAGGATCTAGAACTAGAAATAGCTTTTGACCCAGCCATCCCTTTACTGGGTATATACCCAAAGGATTATAAATCATGCTGCTATAAAGACACATGCACACGTATGTTTGTTGTGGCACTATTCACAATAGCAAAGACTTGGAACCAACCCCAATGTCCATCAATGATAGACTGGATTAAGAAAATGTGGCACATATACACCATGGAATACTATGCAGCCATAAAAAAGGATGAGTTCGTGTCCTTTGTAGAGACATGGATGAAGCTGGAAACCATCATTCTCAGCAAACTATCGCAAGGACAGAAAACCAAACACCGCATGTTCTCACTCATAGATAGGAATTGAACAATGAGATCACTTGGACACAGGATGGGGAACATCACATACCAGGGCCTGTCATGGGGTGGGGGTAGGGGGGAGGGATTGCATTAGGAAATATATGTAATGTAAATGAGGAGTTAATGGGTGCAGCACACCAACATGGCACATGTACACATATGTAACAAACCTGCACATTGTGCACATGCACCCTAGAACTTAAAGTATAACAATAATAAAAAAAAAAGAAAAGAAAATGCACATCCTAAGGCTAGCTGTGCCATACAAATTTAAGCAAACAATTCAGTATTGCTATGACTGATGAATATCTGAGCGCCTGCACTGACCAACACCATTTTCAGGTTGTTTTCCATCAACTTTAAATGGATGATGCCACCTAAGCTTCATCCCAGGATACATGTGTTCCATGCAGTGTATCCAAAAACACTCAAATAAGCACAAAAAGGTAAGTAGCTTGTCCTGCAGCAAATTATGCAAAGATTCAAATCACTTATTAGGACTAAGGAAAGGAGCATAAAACAATTACTATGATTACGTACACAACTCTAATCCATTACCTTTGGCATTTTGTCAAAATAGAAAAAAAGTAACCAAATCTGGGGCTCCTTTTAGTCAGGAAATGATACAATAAAAGCTGAGATAAAGAATGCAGTCTCTGCCCCACGGAGGTGGCTCACCCTGTAATTCCAGCACTTTGGGAGGACAAAGTGGGTAGATTACTTGAGTCCAGGAGTTTGAGATCAACCTGGGTAACATAGCGAAACTCTGTCTCTAGCAAAAAAAATAATAATAATACAAAAATTAGCCAGGCATGGTGGCGTGTGCCTGTAGTCCCAGCAACTAGGGAGGCTGAGGCAGGAGGTTTGCTTGAGTCTGGGAGGCAGAGGTTGCAGCGAGCCGAGATTACACCACTACAATCCAGCCTAGGCAACAGAGTAAGACCCAGTCTCAAAAACAAAACAAAACAAAACAAAACAAAACAAAACCCCAAACCTATTTGACCAATATGTATTACTTCATTGCATATTCTTCTGCTCTGCAGTGGGGTGGCACATTTCCAAAGAAAACTATACTTTAAAAAATTTTTTTAAAATTTAGGCTGGGTGCTGTGACTCACGCCTGTAATCTCAGCACTTTGGGAGGACGAGGCGGGCGGATTGCCTGAGGTCAGGAGTTCAAGATCAGTCTGGCCAACATGGTGAAACCCCATTTCTACTAAAAATACAAAAAAAATTAACCAGGCATGGTGGCACACATCTGTAATCCCGGCTACTTACAAGGCTGAGGCAGGGGAATTGCTTGAACCACGGAGGTGGAGGTTGCAGTGAGCTGAGATCGCACCACTACACTCCAGCCTGGGCGACAGAGCGAGAATCCATCTAAAATAAAAAAAATTAATTTTTAAAAATTTGTGACAGGATCTCACTATGTTGCCCAGGCTGGAGTGCAGCAGCTATTCACAGGCACAGAGTGTGCTGCAGCCTCAAACTTCCAGACTCCCATCTCAGCCTTCCAAGTAGCTGGGTGCCATGGTGCCATACTTTAATTTTCTTTAGTAGAAATAGCTGTATATTCTGATGACAATTTGGAACCTTTACATTTTGTTTATTTACCGTCTTTCAATAAAATAAAAATCATGTTTCAAAACTGAAGGTTTAAGATATTGCTTTTTGAATAAACATGATTAAGTTTGAACACAAATGTTTTAAGAAAAATCAGACACTGAAAGTAAATTTTGACACTTCAAAGGAAGTACTAATTCAGAAAGCCTATCTGAAGTATTGCTGTTAGTTTTGTCTGCTCCAGTTTTGTCTGGAGAAACACTGCATACAATTGTGAAAATTAAGGGAACATGTGTAGAGTGCTTAGAATGGTATCTGGCACATACAAACTGTTATTTCTTTGTGAAAATTAAAATTCAATACAGCTTTTCTTTATAAATGAATGTTGCATAGATAAAAACAATCCTGAAAACAAAATTATTAAGATAGTATAGAAATCTATAATGGAACTGATAATGAATATTTCCCGATTTTCTGATCTATGGGGTTCAGGAAAAGTTCTCATTTAAGAGATTTTTACACAATAAGGTTTACTTTATATTCAAGGAAGTTCCTCCTCGCATCGGTTCTTAAAACACACAATTACAGTAACAGCAGTTCTCTAAAACTACATTTTATTTTAAACAAATCTCTTCATTTAAAAGCACATGCTTTCTGGTTTGTCTTCCCTCTTAATTCTAGCTACACACTGCTGCACTCTGCTGCAATTTCAATCTTTCTAAGTTGACTGCCATCCCAATCACACAAACCTGACCTAGTTTCCATCTATACCGGTTATCTGACTCACTATAAGGGTTACGTGTGTGTATGTAGACAACAAAAGGGAAGGCTCCTTGAAAAGAAAGCAAGGAACTAAAGATGTTGGTACAGTTCAAAAGATCCCATCTGAGAAGTGGGCCTTTTTTTTTTTTTTTTTTTGAGACGGAGTTTCACTCTTGCTGCCCAGGCTGGAGTGCAATGGCATGATCTCGGTTCACCGCAACCTCCGCCTCCCAGGTTCAAGCAATTCTCCTGCCTCAGCCTCCCGAGTAGCTGGGATTACAGTAGCTCGGACACGCCCGGCTTTTTTTTTTTTTTTTTTCCTTTTTGTATTTTTAGTAGAGACGGGGTTTCTCCATGTGGTCAGGCTGGTCTCAAACTCCTGACCTCAGGTGATCCGCAAGAAGTGGGCCTTTTTATGGGTCCAGCAACAAACTCCCCACCTCCCAGGAAAGGTTGCTTCCTGGCATCTATATAACTCTTTGTGTCTCAGGCCTTTATTGTTTTTTCAATTGAAACAAAATTATATACATGTGGTTAAAAAAAAAAGGAGAGAGAAGGGCCGGGCGCGGTGGCTCAAGCCTGTAATCCCAGCACTTTGGGAGGCCGAGACGGGAGGATCACGAGGTCAGGAGATCAAGACCATCCTGGCTAATACGGTGAAACCCCGTCTCTACCAAAAAATGCAAAAAACTAGCCGGGCGAGGTGGCGGGCGCCTGTAGTCCCAGCTACTCGGGAGGCTGAGGCAGGAGAATGGCGTAAACCCGGGAGGTGGAGCTTGCAGTGAGCTGAGATCTGCCACTGCACTCCAGCCTGGGCGACAGAGCGAGACTCCGTCTCAAAAAAAAAAAGAGAAGAAGAAGAAGAAAAGGAAAAAGAGTAAACAGCAAAGAAGGCAATCAATAAAACATTTGGCTTCCATTCCAAACCTCTGGACAGGTTTGTGTATCTGTCCAGAACGCGTATATATTATTACAAACATACACAAGGGGCATTTCTTTTTCAACACAAATGTCAGTATTCCTACCACTCTGTTTACCATTCTAGACTAACTTGGACTTTGTTCCCTATCAGGCGAGATTAACCCAACTAAATTAAAATCAAGTAGGTTTTAACAAAAAAGATTTTAAAGAAATCAATCTCCTCTCCAATAGGTTATTTCTGTCACGATTTAATTAGCTTTCTGTTGCTACCAAGCCTTGTATCATATAAAGCAGTGGTTCTCAGGCCGGGCGCGGTGGCTCACGCCTGTAATCCTAGCATTTTGGGACGCCGATGCGGGGGGATCGCTTGAGCCCAGGAGTTGGAGACCAGCCAGGGCAACATAAGGAGAGCCCCCACCAACACCCCCCCCAACCCACCACCACCGCTCCCGAAAAGCAGTGGTTCCCAGACGTCAGCAGACATTGCTATCATCGGTGGGCTCGTTAAAAGAGAGTCGCTGGATTCAGGAGGTCTAGGGTGGGGCTTGAGAATTTGCATTTCCAATAAATTCCAAGCCGGAACTCCAGGAAGATAACCTACATTCCGCGCCTGGCGCAGCCCAGCTACGCCATATCCGTCCTAGGCCCCGCCTACTCTGCGTCCCTAACAGCCAGGGACAGGCTAGAGGGCGCGTAGAGTCACGTGAGTCGAGCGAACTCGCGCGAGAGTTTGTATTTCTCGCGAGACTTCACCGTCTCTGTCTTTTCCTCCTTCCAGTGCCCGGCTTTCCTCCCCTCCCCCCTCGCCGCCGACCGAGTTCTTCCTTTTCAGACCGAGTCGTCTCGTCGTCGCGGAGATTTTCCTTCTACTGCTGCTGCTGCTGCCGCCACCACTACCACTGGGCTTATTTGCCCCGACCCCTTCCCGCTGCCCCGCCCCCAGCCCCACACAAGGTAACAACCCCCTTGAGGGAGAGAGTGAGGCCTGGCCGGGCCCGGGTGCCTCCCGAGGTGAAGCGGAGGCCCAAGGCCGAGGAACCCACCTCGCCGGAGACGCCCAGGCTCTGGCCCTGGAGCCCGGAGCCATGGCCGTCTCCCAGCCAGAGCTGAGCCTCGGCGGCCCGGCCGGCGCTGGCCTCCCTGCTGCGGCGGCAAACACTGCCCGCAGGGGACCGGGTCGGGTGGGGCTGGGCGCCGCGCGGCTCCTTGTGGAGCTTGCCTGTTGGAGCACAGCGGGGCTCCGGCGGTGGTCCTGAGCTGGCGTTTGGATTTCCAGGTCCGAATGATCGAGTTGTGGCGGGGAGGAGAGCAGCCTGGGTCGCTGTAACTCTTGGGGGCCTTTTCCGGCTCCCCGCCTTTGGTTGGACGGAAATTTTACGAGAGAGAAGAGTACTCGGAAACGTCGTACATTTGCTTATAAACCATCAAAAAGGGTTAATTAGTGTCTTATTTTCAGGAAACTGAGTGAGCTGGATTTGGCGAAAGGCTCATTCCTTAGAACGTCTAAATGGGAGAGTACCTGTGCTGTTCTTTTTGCTGAAGTTAATGCAGCGATAAATAGTTAAGCGACTGGGCGAAAGATTTTTGTTCTGGAGAAGCACTTTTAAATACACTCTTTATTGAATAGTTCACGTAAAGTTGTTTGTGTAGTTAAGTTAAAAACGTACTTGTTTGACTTTGGAAGCGTACTTTAGTGCTTAAAAATAAGTATTTAGATTGTTTTTGAAAGTTTCGACTTTTCCAGCAGAGTAGTGCTTTTTAAAAAGATAACGATTATTGAGCCGAACTCAGCACCTACCCTGTGGATAGGAGTTAAAAGAAAATTAGAAATTTCTTTGTATCTGTGTGCTTTTTTAAAGTATGGACTGTATCTCAAGTTTATAATCTTCGGAAAGCTGTTGCCTTTAAGTTTGTGGTTTAGGTGAAGTCTGAGAGTAAAGGTAATGGTGGTGAATTAAGCTGCAGTGTTAGAAGGAGTTGGAGGCAAAAACTGGTAATTCAGGCAGACAGGGAAGTTAGTTTTTTATGCCTTGATTTTTGGTTCAGTTTTCGTGGTCTAACCCTTTTTATTTTCCCCAGATGTCAGAGGATTTAGCAAAGCAGCTAGCAAGCTACAAAGCTCAGCTCCAGCAAGTTGAAGCTGCATTATCTGGAAATGGAGAAAATGAAGATTTGCTAAAATTGAAGAAAGATTTACAAGTAAGTATGGGTAGGCAATTGTAGTTTTTTCTCTGTTTTTCATATTATTGCTTGAATCCCTAAGTACTCAAAGCGCCTTTTGAGGGGTTACACCCCACCCTGCGTATATAGGTAAATTGTGTAGGTACTGTGGTTTGTAGAAGTAGGGTTGTTTCCCCAGTTCTCAGGTTTCTGTACATCAGAGGGAATGACGTATTGTTCTTTGTTATATAAATCTTGTGTACTTACATGATTTTTAAAAACAAAAGTTGGTAGAAATTTCTAAGTCTGTCAGATTTTCAAGACGAGAGGTACATGTAACTTCACAATGAAAAATACTTTTATTTTTTAAGACCTGGAAAATGAAATTTAGTTCAAAAAGTAACAAAGATTGAAGGAGAAAAATAGAACCTTAAGATTCCTTTTAATACCACAAGATTCTTTGAAAATGCGTGACTTCCCCCCCGCCCCAAAATTTACGGGTTATATCTTGTATTGAAAACACACTGCAAAGATGCCTAGAGAGAGACATGTGCTCTGTATAATTGTTACACAGATGTTAGGACTTAAGGCTAGGTTTTACAGTAAAGTTGGTGACACTTGGGGAAATTGAACTATGTGGTGAAAAGGAGATCTTTGTCAAGTCCAGTAGATATGAAAACCTTTTTTTAAAAACCTGCACTGGGATTTCAAGACAGAGCCTTCATAGTAAATACATTTTGTTTCTCAGGACACTGGACTGATTCAGAAAAATGCCATATATAATTTACAAATATATATGACTTTTAAGAGCTTCCTTTAAATTCTGAACCTGATTTTTAAAAAATTTCAAGGGTGTTTTGATTAGAGATTGCTTTACCAATTGAGTACTAAACTTGAATCTGTATCCTGTCTAAAAATTATTTCCCTCCCTTTATTATTCCAGTGTCCATTAAAACTATTACTATTTTGGGGATATCACAACTGCAGACAAAATTAACTGAAATAGGGTCCAGATTTGGAATTCTAGAACTGCTTATCTGGGCATAATTAAAATGAGTTGAATACTTTCAAATTCTAGATTTAGAATAAAATTGCAGTAGTATGTTATTTTTAAACACACACAAACCATCTGGGATAATTTCAATATGAACAAGACCCCTCTTTGATACGTGGAAGCCAGGCCTGTGGGTTTCAGGGTGCCAGTCAATAAGAAAAAGATGTTTTGGGAGCATTTTCTCCCACTCCCAGGCCCTTAAGTGAAAAATAACCCAATGGTTTGCCACCTGTCCATTTGATTTGCTCACATGTTGTGAGTATACATTGAAGATGAGGCAGCAGAGGTACACCAACCTCTTTTCTTACACTCTGTAAAGCACTTTCTGTTTGTTCCAAAGAGAGATGCCTCGACTACCTTTACCAACTTAAGCAGTCCTTTTTTAGGAAAATAAAACATTGGGTGCCAGTGTTTTGTATATTGCTTCCTGGGCAGTGGGAGGAGGGGTATTTGTTGAACTGGTTGGGTTGGGGAAGTTGGGAGTGGAGTTAGAAATAGCATTATCATCAGGTCTTTTTAATATTTCTAGATTAATTCATCATTAGAGTCTGGGCAGAACTGCCTTACCATGTCATGATCATCGTAGTGGAAAGTACTGTAGGGGGAAACCATTGTGATAAACATTGTAGTAAGCCCCTAAAAGGCTTGCCTGCGGGGGTTCAGTTAATAATGACCTGGAAATCATTTTTCTGTAAAGTATCCTCTTTTCTATAACCATTTAAAACAGCACTGTCCAGTAGAACTTTCTGTGATGATGGAAATGTTCTATATCTGCTTTTCAGTACCATAGCCACTAGCCACATTTGGTTGGGTACTTGAAATACAGCTAGGTTTACTTAGGAGCTGAGTTTTTAATATAACTTAATTAGCCACATGTGACTACCATATTGGATGGCAAGAATTTAGAAGTGTAAGTTCTCATACTTCAGATAGTAATAACAATATTTTTCCTGACCAGTCTTGATCAAAGTTTCTTCCCATTTTATTCTATCATTAGAAATTTCATTTTGGTCACTAGATAAGGTCTGTTTTGAATTGAAAACTACTCAAAAATGGAAACCATCTTTTAAGATGAGGTAATACTCTGAAAAGTATTTGGCTATATGCTTCCACCCAGTAATTGTTGTCTCCATTGAGACTATACTTACAGCTTCTATTTAGCTATGGGGGTTCCCCCGCTCATTCACCTCTTTTTTCCTTCTCTGCCTTCTGGGATGTATCTCATGCTATGGGTATTTAATTCAGCCTGTTACATTTGGTGAGAAGTCTGTTCAGACTGATTTTGTGGCTTCCTCATATTAATATTTTTTGACCATATGGTTTCTAATTTCTTGTGTTCCTCTATAGAATTAGGTCCTTATCCTGGTTATTAATTTGTTTGCCCTTTGATTTATGACAAAATACTTTTTCTGCATCTTTTCAGTGACTTCATTTTGCCAGTAAGGTTTCTATGTTTATCTCTTTCATGTACTGTCTTTCATAGAGACTGAAGTTATTCAGCAGGCAGCAAAATAATCTACTAAAGTCCTGCCTCTCTTTTTTCACTTAAAAAAGTGGGTGTAATAAAATCCAGGCTAGCTAGCTGACTAGCTCCCCGGGCAGTCTATGATAATCACAGATAGTCAATTTATTAGGCTGTTTTGCTGAATAAGCTGGTTCTAAAGGAGGCAGGGGTCAAGTCACTTGTCTCATATATTACAGTGGCTCTCTGCATCCCCGAAACGCCTTCCTTCAGTAAGCAGAGTGCTTGAGTGCACCCCCTTTGACCTGCTGATATGTAGATCACAACACCTGATGCTTCCTGGAATTGCCGATTACTGTAACTGCTGCCCATCTGTCGATGAAGGAGCAGTTTCAGAACTCAGACTTGAGGGAGGAAAAGTAATTAATGGTATGTACCTTCAAGAACCCCCTCATACATAAAATAGTTTTTCTAATACTTTGGTCCATACGCACATGTGAAGAATAGAAATTTAGAAGGTTCTTCATAGTTTGTTGGGAGGGTTATGTAAAACCATGGCAAAGTTAGAGGACATGAGAAGTAAATGCTCTGGATTTTTTCTAAAAAAAGGTCATTTCAGCACAGGCCTCTGAATTCACTAATATGCACAGCTTTTCAGGACCCTTTTCTTTGATGAAATATATTTCTCTAACAAAGTGGATTTGGAAAATAGTTCTGCCCTAAAAGAAACAGAGTTCTAAATCTGAAACCTGCAAGTGCAGAATTCATGTCTGTGCTTAAGTTAAATGATCCCTAGGTGGATCTGGAAATATTTAATGATAGAGATTTGTATGGGCTCTTGAGTCAGGCTTACTGGATTACATTCCTACCCCTAAAAGTGGTTAAAAGTAAGACCAGATAATTTACTCTTCTTTTGTGTACTACTTGATCTAGTTATTTGGAAGTTTCTTTGCTTTATTTGCAAAGGACTATCTAATTAAAAAGATTTAATTAATGGCTAGTTGGCAACTACTAAAACTTAGAGATATTATTCCTACTAAATTTTTAACTCAACCCAAAGTGTTCTATTTATTTATTTATAAAACTAACCTTTCTTGAAGAGATTTAATACTCAAATATTAGGTTTTTCAGAAATAGCCAGGAAGATTTAGAATCTTTAGAAGAGAGGTAATATTTAACTTTCTTGGCTACTGAATCAGATTTACTATTATGAAACCTCAGTGGGAACTAGAAGAAACTCAGTACATAGTTTAATTTTGTTCATTTTTCTCCCCAAACACATAGTATGATGTTTTAAATGCAACAGTGGGTGAACAGCTACGCCAGTTCTTAGATCAGATAAGATGCATAGTGTGGATCTTCATTAGAGTAAAAATGTAGTAGATAGGTAGCAGAATCTGTCAGTTTGTACTATTCTCAATTTTTTAGCCATCCCTACACCAGACATCTTTGAATGAAGCCAATAAATGTAAGCCTGAATTAGAAAAAAATATTTGCCACACAGAAAGGCATTGCCTATGTGTGTTACCTTTTTCCCCCCCTTTTAAATGAAGCTGTGCTGATGTGCTTAACATTAAGGTATGGAACATTTAAAATCTAATCTGGTAATTTGCTTACCCAGATGGGGTGAGTTTTACAGTAATTGAATAGGAAGACCACTGGTTTCTTTTACATGTGCCTATAGTATTTTAGTTGAGATATGTATAAGTAGGAACATTTTTGTTACTAATAAAGCTGCTTAAACTGTTTTGGAATTGTTTGGCAGTTAATACTGCTGAGTAATGCCCTATAAAACAGTACAGTTGCATAAAATACGTTACAATAAGAGTATCTAATTCAGTTCTTCATACTTGACTTTCTCATCTTTAGAGAGATCTATTCAGCTAAAATAGGCACTTAGAAATGGTATAAGCTCAAGTCTTACATTTTCATTAGTATTTGTGGTTAAGTTGAAAGGCAACTATATGGGCTTAAATCACAGCTCTACCACTTAACTCGTAGAAAATACTGTATCTCAGTTTCTACATGGGGATAATCACAGTACTTGCTTAATAGTGTTATGAACTGCAAATGAAATATATAGAGAGTACTTAGTGTACAGTATGAAAGCTGTCATCAAAAACAAAGTTGACAGTGAGAATTACGAAAATAATGTTGTGGTTTTTGTTTTTCTTTTTTAGGAAGTTATAGAACTAACCAAAGACCTTCTGTCAACTCAACCTTCTGAGACACTTGCAAGTTCAGACAGTTTTGCTTCTACTCAACCTACTCATTCATGGAAAGTAGGAGACAAGTGTATGGCAATCTGGAGTGAAGATGGACAGTAAGTGTAGAAAAAAAAACCCTAACTGTAACATGAAATAATAAAATACAATGGTAAGAAGTTTTTATTCAGTTTTAACTACCCTATTTTAATCTTTACTTCTATTAGGCAGTATGATTCATAGAGCCAATTTGATTCTTGGGTGGTTGCCATTAATACAGTTTAGTTTTAGCTTTAGATTAAGTTTCGGGGATAAGAATGACTTGGATTCTAGAGGAAGGAAAAACGGGACAGTGAATGGGTGTTTTCTAAAATAATCTAAATTCTTTTCTCCTCAAATTGAAAATTAAGTGAACGGCTGGTTTTTCTGAGAATTCTGTGAAGAGCATACACTGAAATCATTCCTATAAGAAATATCTTTTCGCTGGGTGTGGTGGCTCATGCCTGTAATCCCAGCACTTTGGGAGGCTGAGGTGGGTGGATCGCTTGAGATCAGGAGTTAGAGAGCTGCCTGACCAACATGGTGAAACCCCATCTCTACTAAAAATACAAAAATCAGCCAGGTATGGTGGTGTGTGCCTGTAATCCCAGCTACTTGGGAGGCTGAGGCATGAGAATTGTTTGAACCTGGGAGGCGGAGGTTGAAGTGAGCCAAGATTGCACTACTGCACTCCAGTCTGGGTGACAGTGAGACTCTGTCACAAAAAAGAAAAGAAACCTCTTTTCTCAAAGACATTAAAGCACATTGGGTAGATACATGCAAGAGACTTTCCCAGCAATATTTTGATTAGGATGTCTTTTTTTTTTTTTTTTGATAAAATACAACTAACTTCAACCACTCTTTTGTATTCTCTTTGCTAAAACAACTATTTGATTATAGAAGTTTCATTATAGACACATGTAATAATTGTATCACTACAGTATAAGTCTTGTAGGCTGAGTACTAAACCTTTACTCACCTGCTTACAGCCATGATATCTTTACAGGTGTTATGAAGCGGAGATTGAAGAGATAGATGAAGAAAATGGCACCGCTGCAATCACCTTTGCTGGTTATGGCAATGCTGAAGTGACTCCACTGTTGAACCTCAAGCCTGTAGAAGAAGGAAGGAAAGCAAAGGAGGACAGTGGCAACAAACCCATGTCAAAGTAAGTGACTTTGACTTTTCCATTTTAGGTGTAATCTTCCCCACTTGGATACTTGAAGTAGTCTGCAGAGAGAATCTGTGCATAAGAAAGTTATAATACTGTTTTACTGTTGTTTTGAAGATTAGCAACAAAGGGTCAACATTGTCTGTATAAATGTGCCTAAGTGAAGATAATTTTGATTCCCATTTAGGCATTCAGTAAATATTAAGAAGATACTATGTACAATGAACATCTTCCCAGCATATTTTATAAGCCAGGTGCTGGGGCTACACCACAGGAGACCACCTCGGGCCTTGTCCCAACTGAGTTTATATTTAGAGAAGAAAACTCATCATTAATGAAGTGCTTTAATAATAGAGTGTAAACATTACAAAGGGGCTATAACAGATACTGTAAGGGAACAAGAGGTACTCAGCCTACACTTTTATTAGGGCAGATTTCTTTGAGAAAACGACATCTAAACTGAGATTTGAAAAGAATAAGAGATAACCAAGTACAAAGCTACAAGGTGATATGACTTTGATCTAGGATTGAATTTTTTGTTATTAATGAGCACTATGACCTTGGATAAGCTGTTTAACTCTGTTTCCTCGTCTGTCAGATAGGGGCCTGTAATCCCAACACTTTGGGAGGCCAAGGCAGGTGGATCACTTGAGGCCAGGAGTTCAAGACCATCCTGGCCAACATGGCAAAAACCCATCTCTACTAAAAATACAAAAGTTAGCTGGGCATGGTGGCACACGCCTATAGTCCCAGCTACTAGGGAGGGTGAGGCACAAGAATCTCTCGAACCCAGGAGGTGAAGGTTGCAGTGAGCCGAGAGTGCCACTGTACTCCAACTCCAGTCTGGATGACAGAACAAGACTCTAACACAAAATAAAAAAATAAATTATAGTTGGAATGTTTACTTTATATGGGTAAATAGATTATACTTATGTTTGAAAGCTCCCAAGGATGCTATTTAAAAAAAAAAAAAATTGCTTAGTAATTCTGGGTGATTGGTACTGATTTTAATGAGTTAGTACTTTTTATTCATAGACCATTGTATATGTTTGATTTTTTTTTTTTTTTTGGCACTGCCGGTGTCTTCAAGGAAGTCATTCTTGTATAATAAGTCTCAACAGTTGACATTTAACTTTTTTTTCATGCAGAAAAGAAATGATTGCCCAGCAGCGTGAATATAAAAAGAAGAAAGCTTTGAAAAAAGCTCAGAGAATAAAAGAACTTGAGCAAGAAAGAGAGGACCAGAAAGTGAAATGGCAACAATTCAACAACAGAGCCTATTCCAAAAACAAAAAAGGCCAGGTTGGTAAATCTTTTTATGACACTTTGTAAATTTGAGAAATGTGACTTACTAACTTTAAAATGAAAAGAGAAGTATGTAGATTTTTTTAAAGTATGATTAACTCAGATTTTGCATTCAGAATCCTTGTTGATGCTCAATTTAGCTTATTGAAAAATGTTAGCCATCGTCTCTGCATAAAAATATTACAAATGAGAGAATTTTATATCAGGAATTACAAAAGGTCTATGTTCTTTTCCTTTAATAAACTAGTATTTGAAAAAATGGTTGCTACTTGGAGGCAGTGTGCTTCACTCTACCTGCTTTGTTAACATGCCTTCATGCTGGGCATTAGGGGGTAGACTTTATTTAAAAGTACATTCAGTTTCCCTTGATACACTTGTCTTTCTAAGTGTGTGTTGGGTAGAAAAAAACTAGCATTCATATAGGAAGTTGAGAATAAGGATAGCCTGACTTTCACCCATGTATTACTCGTCACTCCCATCAAGGTAGGCCTTCCATTGATGGACATGGCTTCTGGAAAGAAGTGCTTCCTTTTCATAAAGATGTTTATTTTGTGACAAATAAAGGCCAAGGGACTTCACAATTTAGATATCATAACAGGCCCCACAGTAAACCGCAATATAGCCAGAGCTTTAATCATGCTAAAATGGCTCGCTCACAGCTGAAGTTAGGATTTGAGTTTGCAAAACTAAAATTTTGAGGTATCAGAAAGCAAGTGTTATGAGTATTAGTGTCTAATGATATTTTCCTCAACTTAGAAGTTAGAGTAAATGGCTTCCAGCATGGGACCACTTCTGTACCCATTTTTTAACACTGAACAAAGGCAATATGCTTTTCTTCTTTTAAACATTGAAACCAGAATATATTTTAACATTACTTAAAATTTGAAATTTTTTATTTTTTCCAATACTAATAGGAATGGTTTCTGTTTTCTTTCCCCTAGGTAAAGAGGAGTATTTTTGCTTCACCTGAGAGTGTGACTGGCAAAGTTGGAGTAGGAACTTGTGGAATTGCCGATAAACCTATGACACAATATCAAGATACCTCTAAATACAATGTCAGGCATTTGATGCCTCAATAATCAGAAAAACTGTTGGATATCATCTCTGCAGGGCTTTACATTTACCTTTTTATCCTTATATTTTTCTAAAGGTAAATTATTTGTTAGATGAGTAAGCAAGATACCATTGTCGTCATTGGTTGACTTCAGTAGAATGAAACGTGAAGAAATTGCATTTGATAACTGCTATTTGTTTAACTTTTCTCATTATCAGTACCACGGTTCCCTCAAAGTTTGTTGAATAAAGCAATTTTTGTAGATGCTGTTTCATACAGCACTTAGATGAATTATTGATCTTCCTAATATCAGGCGCCTACTTAACCTATGGTATGTACTTTTTGTAAGTTGTAACTTGAAATTTTCAGATGCTTTGAACTTGACACATACTCTAGCAATTCATTGGAACACCAAGGCAAAAACACCAACCTGCTAAAGAGATCCTTTCATTTTTCTTATTTTCAACTTTAAAACTTAGCTGTCGTTCAGTTAAGCCTAAAGATAGGTTAATTTGTAAATGGCAAAGTTTGTTTTGAGGTTTTTCCTCAAAAACTTGTATCCTAGGCCTATTAGGCCATCTCTAAAATTGATGTGTTTTATTTTTATGTACTCTTAGTTCTATGTAAGAAACCTTAGGATGAGCTCCCTTTTCTAAGGTGTTTTTGTTTTTTGTATGTTTGCTTTTTTCCTGTTTTTTGTTTTTTTCATTTACGGCAGTGGTACCATGTTTTGGGTGTATAATGTTTATATGGGAGAACAAAAAGCTGATGTATAGCCCTGTATACAGTGTAGATACTATTTTTGTAAAAACACAAGGCTAAATTAATGAACAAGAGTACTGAATGTTTCATCATTAAAAATTTCTTGTATTTCTTGTGCATTAATCTGACCATAATTTCCCTGTATATTATGTTCATTTAGCTGTTTGTAATTTTTGTTAATTAGATCAAGTTGTCTGCATTTGTTGGTGTAAATGAACATCACAGTTATCCTGAGTTGAGTTTAAGCCAAATACATGCATAGAAAAGGGTCTTCCTATTAATGGAAGAAGGTAATTTTTAGGATGTGTATTATTTCAGTTTTGTATGTTTAACTTTTATTAAATAAAGTGTTTTTAAAATCTCCAGGGTGTGTTAACAAAAGGGTAAGCTCTTTAGCTGTCAGCACTTAACAGTGATTAAACTTGCACACAGCATTGCCATGGAAGAGAATATTGAGTGTGAGAGAAAGGTTTCAGTAAATCCTTAAGTATTCCTTCCATTAGAAGAAATTGGATCTTAAAGGGCAAACTAGGCATGTGTTTATAGGATGTTCTCATTTTAATGGGCGTTTGTAGATTTTTGGAGGAAAGGGAAAATAAGTTTTTATTTCATGAATTTTAATTTTTTTTATAAATTGAAACTTAGGACAGTGTTAGGTAGAATTCTTCATCTCTCCCTTCCACCCCCAACCCCTCTCAACCCAGGAGGGTCACTTTTTCTTCATATAATTCGTGGCCACAGGGTAGGACACAAAGGACAGAAAGGCACAAATTGTAGTAGAAAAAGGGCTCTTTGAAGCCTGTAAACTTCTAAATAAAATAAAGTTTCTTATTGTAACATCTTAAGAGCTTATCAATAATCAAGAGTGGCCTTGATGGACTGCAAGAGAATCCTTTGAATTAAAAGCAATGGGAAGAAATTTGGTGTCATTGTGACCCCAGAAAATGGTTGTTGAGATTACCTTGGTGGTGTTAGAATAGTAATTCACCTGATGTTTGTGTAGGCAGGACTGTTAACAGTCTTGTCCCTCTTTTGACCCTGGGGGCCTTAGTTTTCCCAGAGGACTTTGCAGTAGGAGAGAGAAAAGGAATAAAAGTGACCTTATCAAAAAAAAAAATCCATTTTGAAAATAGACCTTTAGAATGAAATCAGCAACCATTGTGTCAAAGATCTAGATGTGGCCCTTTGGAAAATCCTAGTGTCAGGATGATTGTGTCTCTGAACTAAGGCAGGACTCCTGGGGAGACTACCTGTCAGTGTGATACTGAATTTGAGAAGACGCTCAATGAGAAGCATGATACCAACAGTATTTTACAATTGAAGGTGGTTAAGCTCTCTATTCTAAAACGAAATATAAACATTGACCTTAAAAAGCTTTGTTAGAAAATTTAATGTGGAGTTTTCCCCATTAAGAAAGGAGACTTGAAGCTTTGAAACTGTGACAGACTGAAATGTTAAAATACTGAGTTATGGGCCCCTACGTAGAAATGGTCGCATGTAACTTACCAAAGCTTGACATTTGACTGTTGTTACCATTTCAAGGAAAGAACAGTTCTAACCTCCCGGAAATTAATAACCAAAATGTTTAGTTTTAGTAGTAATCACAGGTAACAAGTGCTATTTTAATTAACATGTAGGGAGGCCACAGAGCATATTGGAAAACAGCAAGGACTCTAGAACCAGATGAGTGTTTATTACCATTTATTACCTGTGTATTCCCATTTATTACTTGTGTATTCCTCTGACTCATTTTTCTCAGCTGTAGAATGGAAAAATCTGTTGCAGTTTTAAGGATTGAGTTCAAATGTGTAAACAGCTTAAGAGTGTCTGGCATAAGCACTATAGAAGTGTCTGCTATTACTCTGCAGAGTGGCAATGGTGAATTATCTGGTATTTTTTCTGTAACTTCAACAGCAATCCACATTACAATGGATAACAATACCCATTGTTTATGATTTGAGGCATCCAATTATAACCATTATTGAAGTGTTACCAAATTACCAAGGTTGTAAGATATATTTAGTATTCCTAGTTAAATGTTTGAACTAATTTGTATACTAGGGCATGTTTTCTTAATGGGAAGGGGGGTGAAGGTTATAATAAAAGTCACCCCTAATGCTTGTTTAAAATTAAAGAGGAATTTGTGGACCTGGGACCAACCTTAGACTTATCCAGGCCAAGGTATGTCTGTCTGACGAACACCACAGGTGATCCTGATGTGCAACCCCGTCTGAGGACTGTTTTGTTAACTATAAAGATTTGACTTTTGAAATTAAGAAAAAAGGCCGGGCGCGGTGGCTCAAGTCTATAATCCCAGCACTTTGGGAGGCCGAGGCGGGTGGATCACGAGGTCAGGAGATCGAGACCATCCTGGCTAACACGGTGAAACCCCGTCTCTACTAAAAATACAAAAAACTAGCTGGGCGTGGTGGCGGGCGCCTGTAGTCCCAGCTACTCGGAGGCTGAGGCAGGAGAATGGCGTGAACCCGGGAGGCAGAGCTTGCAGTGAGCCGAGATCGCGCCACTGCACTCCAGCCTGGGCGACACAGCGAGACTCCATCTCAAAAAAAAAAAAAAAAAAAGAAATTAAGAAAAATTACCTTTTAGCCTAATCATGAAGACTAGGCATCAAACCAAAACAAGATGCATCAGTTATTGTAGCAACACATTTTTTTTTAAAAAAATTGCTTGTCACATTGAAGGGTGTGTATGTTTCCAGTATGCAATTCTGATGCTGAATGTCTGCCTTAAAAATAGCAAAGGAGACCATCAGGTTAACATAAAGGAAAATTGTAGTTTTGTGACTCTTGTGTGTCTAGATTATAATTTTATAATTACAATTTTTATAAGATTAAAACTACCGGTTGTAAATTCAACCAAAGAAAAAAAACATTTAAAGCTTTGATATAGCTTTTTGCTTTAACTTGGGTAGTAATTGAAAATATAAAGGAATAAAATCTATTAAAACCAATGAGGTTTTATATTTGTTAAAATCTTGATTCGATAAATATCAGCTGAATTAAGTGTATGGTACTACGAAGCAATCAATTAGTATAAATGGCAATTTACAAGTTCAACAGTAAATGTAAACATTCTTTGTATCTAGGATTTTTGAGTTGCAAGTTAAACTGAATTTTTACTGCAGTGGAGAGGAAGAGCATAGCAGGCAAAATAACAGGTAATATTGTATTTTAAACAGAAAAACCCAAGTAATTGGCACCCTTTACCCGATCATCGTTTAAAAGGCCTATATATGTGTATAGTTAGGTTCTTAAGAAACATCTTAAGAGGTTCAGAAATCAGTTTTATAGTTGGAACATTTTAATCATTTGTTTTGGCCTAGCCAAACTAAATAAAACAAAACAAAATGGTGTTAGATTTCTGTGAGGTGTTTTAATTGCCTTTTAACTTATGTATATAAAGGTGGTTCTTTTGTGGCCTTGACTGGGGTAAAGCAGAACTGAGAATAAAGGGTTTGTGGTAGTTGACAGCTGAACTAGCTAAACATACGAAGTTTTGGATATTTAATTAATCTTTCAGTTCCCAGGCAATAAAAACTGGAAACTTAGTTCCACCACACACCTTACCAGTTATTTAAAACAAAACCAGTATAGTCACTGGAATTATTTAAACCGTAATTTGTTTCTCCACTTAGTCTTTTTTTTAAGAATACAGCTGAAAGAGCCATGGTGATACTAGGAGAGAAAGCTGGCATTTTGTTTGAAGAGCTACTTTCTCAACTTGGGGCTGAAAGTTAAGGTGGTGGTGGTTTTGCTGGCTCAGGGTTTTCCCTTTCTTGGTAAAACTGATGTGCTTTTGTTTTTTCCCCTTTCAAGCCGTGTACTTATTTTAGCAAGATGCAGTGAATTTCTGACCAGAGAAACAAAGAATTCAGGCTTGGAGGAAACACTTGACTCCATATCCTGGGAAACTAGAGTTGAAGCCTGAGATCTGAAGCTAGGCTAGTAATCACTTTAATAGATGGTAACTGTCCAAATGTTCATTGCTCAGAAGTAGCAGGAAGGAGTAAGTATCCCTTTTATTCTTTTGCCTGGAGTTTTTCCCTCCAAAATCACCCTCAGGTTTAGTTGACCTAGGTTTCTAAGTGTGATGAAGCTACTAATTTAGAAATGACTGATGATCTTAAATTTATACTCTTCTTATAAATTTTAGAGGTACTTTTATAGGTTTTGTTATATTTTTACAGTGCTATTCTGTGCCCTGGTGTGAGCATCTAAAATAAGTATCTCAATTATTACTCTACCAATAAAGATTTTTAAAGTATTCCCCATGGCAAAGAGCTATGAGCTTGAGGATATGGAAAAAATTCCAAAACTACAGTAAGTTAGTTGGCAGTATCTTAAAAGAACTTCATTTGAAGCCATTTTCTCTAATTTATGACTATAGAAAGGTAAAACAGAACAGGAAGTGATCAGCCAGTACATTTATGTTGAACTACGCTGCCTATTTAAAACAATCTGACATATTCTACAAGAAAACCAGTTTCCTATTAGATCTGATACATAGGAAAGGAGATAGCTGCTGTTTCTCTTGCTTGGCAAAGTCAACACTAAATATTAACCTAGGGCACATTACTATCAGTATACAATATGTTCAACTTGAGGTTAGTCCTTTTTTTTTTTAGAACAAATAATCACTAAAACTGATGCTACGTTATATAAAGCCTTCATTTAAGAAATTCTGTAGGAGGCTGGGTGCACTGGCTCACACCGGTAATCTCAGCACTTTGGGAGGCCAACATAGTGAAATGCCCTCTACTAAAAAATACAATAATTAGCCGGGTGTGGTGCCACATGCCATAGTCCCAGCTACTCAGGAGGCTGAGGCAGGAGCATTGCTTGAACCCAAGAGGTAGAGGTTGCAGTGAGCCGAGGTCGCGCCACTGCACTACAGCCTGCGTGACAGAAATTCTATAGGAAATAACAAATGACTTCTTTATTAAAGTATTACCTACCATGGAATTTTGCTTAAGTGAACTAATATTTAGAAACAGTCTTTTTCTGCAAGACCTAGTCAGAGTAACTAAAATTCAGGATTAAGGATGCGTTAGAAGGTTGCATTCAACAGAGAAACTAGAGAAACACACACCTTTTAATTTCCTACATCTTCCTAGATGGCAGTTGGGGAGTGGGGTGGTTAAGTTCAACCTTTCAAGATAGAGGTAGTACTTATAATAGCTTTTCAGGAGGAAAAAGGTTCCATGAAGAAATTAAGTAACAACCAGGGTCAGCAAATGTTGGAACTGGGATTAAAGTATAATTAAAACACTTGCTTTTCCCACATTTTACTGTTTTGGGTTAACTGTTGGGAACCTGATTTTGGTCAGGAACTTTGCCTCAATAAT